AGGAACGCATGTAGAACGTATCCTGTGGTGGAGCAGGAGCAGGATATGGTTCGTTTAGCGCCGATCACGCCAACTTTGGATGCGCCGCGCACTGAGGGCCGCGCAGAGGTGATGGGATGGTGCAACTTGTGCGTAATGTCTGTTCACGCGAGCAAATGTGTCTATAAGGTTCAGGGAGGTCCATGGCGAGCCTGTGCACTTGTTTACAGTGTTTTCCGTTGCGTATGATGGAACATGTCCCTGTCAACGCTGCCAGATTCGTGCTCCGCCAATTGCTGACTCCGATAAAGGAGACCAACTGCTGGAAAACGTCTGATATGAACGATATGGTAGTCCTGTCGCTTGTCGAGAAAAAAACAGGTTGGCTCAGCGCCAAGCGCGACCGCGGACACGCCATATCATTGGCAGCGAACCAGAGTTTGAGTTGTACTGTTTAGTCACCAACGGACTACGAGATGATGATGTCGACTTATTAATATTTGCAGTTATTTCGGATTAGTTTGATGAATGAAAGTTTTGTACTATTTTTTTTGCATAATTCGGGGAGTATCTCTAACAAAGCCAAGTTTTTCGTTTACAGGACTCAGCACATTGACAATTTGCGCTGCTCGTTACTGGCTGCCGCACTCACTACGACCCCCCTCTCCTGGCGGCCAAATACGACCCCCCTGTTGGGGATTCCCCAACCAACGATGTGCCCTGCCCTTCAATCCCACCATGGGGCTTTTGAAAAAGGATTGAAACGGGAAAAGTGGAGAATTAGAGATTGCATATTGAAAATCTACGAAAAAGGTGAATTCGCCAGCAGGTTACCTAGACCATTTGTGAATATAGAATTTAGCAAATGCGATTTTTATAGCATTGTTCGCCATGCGGTTGCAGGTGGTGTCTGGGGGGGGGGGGGGGGGGAGGGTGTAGGCGCGAAAATGGCCCCTTATGCTCCAGTTGTTGAAAACTAGAACAGTGCAAGTCCTGCCATCGGAGGGAACTCCTACTAAGTAGGATCACGCTTTCCTTTCCTATCGGTCATCTCCCTATATTCTCCCAACTTTCTATCACTTTTTCTTCGGAAAATCACCGTTGAGAGATGATGGAAGCGCTTCAGGGGCGTTTCAGAATTGGGTTGCGCGCCAGCTCGTTCTCTCAGTGATCGTGAAGGCATGCCGATAAATTTGTCGAAAATGGTGCATGGCCTGCGTCAAGCCGCCACCCCCCCCCCCCCCGTCCCCACAGCAAATGGCAACAAGCGGCAATTTCTCGGCAATCCATAAACTGCACGATAGAAACAAACGAAACGATGACGAAAAACAGTAACTTAAAATTTTCTTCATTCAAATGATATCTTTCTCTTGAGCGAAATGCAGCACATTACAGAAATAATCAACAACACTAAATTCACTATGCACATACACTCCATATCCCAGAATGGAGTGGGCGTGGCGGCGTATTCATTTAAACGTGGCGGCGACTGCAATCTTGATGAGATATTTTTGTCTTTAGGCATTCGTAATCATGACCTTGTCCGGAAAATGACAGCTGCCTCAAATGGAAATCCCGGGAGAACGCACCGCGCGCCATGTTCGAATAAAGTACGTAGCACGCCCTCTCCAGCTCTGCGGTATGAAGTGGAAATAAAATCAAAATCTGTTTGAAATATTAATTAAATCTCGTCATTATCATGAAAAACTCGCTTCAGAAATGCCAGGACATTTTCGTAAGTAGAGATCGAATATAACAAGATGAGTGAGATCAAAAAGTGGACAGTTTTTCACAGAGAGGAGGCAATCACACCCGTAAATTCTTAAAAAGTGGTAGATCGTAGGAGGAGTACGAGGACGACGGAGGACGCCAAACATTTGGAGTCAATCTAACCAATGGAGTTTGGCGAGGACGTTACACAGATTACCGTGTTGACATCCACAAATGCTAGGACGAGATCTGTGCATCTCTCGACGCTCTCTCCCGTCGACCGCTGCGCCCCGTGGCGCGCCCGCTCTATCCTCACGCTACTCGATCTACCATATGCTTGGACGACGCTCCCTCGTGCTGCTCCCTGAAGCAATCTATGCTAATCCGCGCTAAGCCTCTTTTAGAACTGCTTGCGCGTCATAGACTGTGAAGACGCGCCATCCCACGTCGATAAAGAAACCAGATCTTTCAACAGATCTTTCGACAGCTCGTCCATCTTGTTCCTGGAATCTTTTTTCGACGTGCCCGGCCACGGTTTCTACCTCATAACGAGACCAATTCGCAGCTGACATTCCCGACGCGTTCTATGACGTGGGACAGCTTTCTTTCCTTTCATCCGCTTCCGGTGTTCCTCTCCACCACCCTCTTTTTTTGATATGGCCCCCGGATTGATGCGTATGTGTTCACTGGCATCTGCTTTTTCCTCCATCTCGCAGCTCGCCACCGGCTGAAGTTTTCCCCCCTTGCATCATTACTACTCGCGCTAGCATCCAAGGGGGGGCCCAGGCGCCGAGTGCAGTCATTTTGGCAATTACGCACGCTTTTAGCGCTCGCCCGCTGCGCTTGGCAGCGGTGGTCCGACTCTCGGATCGGTCCCGTCGCAGCCGTACTACTGCGCGTAGCCCTCCTCGCTATTTTCTTGTTCACGTGCACCTGCCCGTCGACGACCGTTCCGCCGTGAGTCAACTGGTTTGTTATAGACAGAAAATATTGACGATGGCATAAGAAGGTCTGATTAAAGCCCACTGGGGCTGCCTTCCGGCAGGTCACTGAATGCGGCCACATTACTTTGATAAAGCCCTACGATCATTGAATGGGAGCGGACATGCGTGTGGGGCGGGAGAACAAAGAATCAGATTGCGATCGTAGAAGAGGATGGTAAGCGCCTCATGTCTCTCTTTTATTTGTCAATCTATATTCTCATTTTGGCGACAATACTTAAGGGCGGACAAGCTTTCTTCAACAGCGGGACTCTCACGCTGACTGCTGAGAGGCCAAGGCGCTGTCTCGATCACCACTTATATATACAAGTGTGTATTTTGAGTAGAGGACATACTAGTCGCGAAAAGATGAGAGCATCATATACGAAAGGATGTAGTATACGGAAGTGAGTCAAAGTGCCCAGTTAAAGGCCTCTCGAAACGGAATTTCAAGGAAGAGTCTGACTAAAGTAACAAGGAAACGAAAAAGCGTTTTCGGCTGTTGACTGAATTCCTCTAATGGTACCAGAGACGTTTTCAAAAATCGAAACTCTTCAGCAAACAATAACTCTTCAAGAAAACATAAAAAAGGCTATTAGGAATAAATATCACCATCACCATCATATCAAGAATGATTAGTAGTCTTGATACTTGTAAAAGTTATTCTGATGAGTGACTTGCTAGGCCGCATTTCATGCTGTAGCCCGGAATCGGGGGATCCGACATAGCACGTTCTATCGCTAGGGAACTTTTTTGCGAAATACCTACCACTGCCACCCCTGCGCCCTCTCCAAGCTACCTGCCATCTTTTCAAATTCTCCCAGCTCTCAGTTTTCCTAATTTTACCCTCAAAAAAAAGCCGTCGCGGGAGAGCAGTGAGCAAATACGACCCTCCACCCCTCAGTGGAAGTCTTCCAACGCTGTAATGGCGCGCATGAAACAGGGACAAATCGATTATCAAAAAAAAATTCCGGCCCAAATAACTCTCCTCTCCCTCTAGCGGCCAAATACGAACCCCTGGAGATTCTCTGACGTACGATACACCATGGAATCAGAGTGCTCCGTGGAAATATAAGAATAAGTATCGACATGGAGAATGGGAGAAGCGAAGATCTCTCGCTGGTGAGCCGGAAAATGTGCGAAAGAGATTAAACATGTATCTGCTGACATTTCAAATCTTTCAGGTAAGGTATGAAAGCAGCTTTGAAAAAGTTTGTAATGGTAGCGGTCAAAATAAAGTGACCCAAAAGTACAGTGACATGTCGAACAGTTCTAACTGCATGATTTCAACGTAATAACACTTCGAAAAACGTACCGTTTCTAGTTCGGCCGCTATGGAGTTGCGCGAATTCACCCTTCTGTGTTGTGCGTCTCTTTTCAGAGGATGTACTGAAGTATGGTGAAAGTGAGTCTACCAACTTCTCGCACATTCTTCGAGAAGGAGATGGATCAGAGGTAAACGCTGAAATAAATGGTGAGAATTTCTACGAGGCAAAGAAAAATGATTTAAATGAAAACCGACTGACTATGTTGGAAAATCGTACAAATTAAAAATATAGCGGTTGAGAACAAAGAAGCAGCTCAGCTGGTTGGTTAGTTACATCGGTTATGCACCTCTATCAATCGAAATTCCTATTGAGAGAAGTTTCCTCACCACATCAGACCTTAATAGGGCTTTACAACGGAAAAAAGGAGAAAATGAGCACGAAGGGGGAGGGAAAAATAGCCCAAGGAAATAGGAGAAAGGTTTTGGCAAATGCCCCTGATCCCCCGCTCGTAACAGGAATTCAGTCGCTCATAGAAGTGAGGATGTTGTAAAGAGGTGACAGAATAATAAAGTCTTCGCCGTTGATCAATCCCTTTGTGGGATGCGGCACGCATTCTACTTCCATTCAGAATCGTAGTGGCTTATTGAATGCGATGTGGCCTATACAATGACTTGCGGGGCCAGCCGATGTACAAGTCAGTGTTTTATCCTCCCAGACGAATCTGGTACCAATTCACCGTCCCCGGAGGGTAGAAGGCTTGGTTGGCCTGGGACCGCGCGAGTGGTGAACGCGCCACTTTTCCTACACCACATCCGAACCTTGACACAGAATACCAGCATCTAAATAAAGCTATTTTCTTGGGTATAAGGCGGACCCGCGTTTACGGCTTTATGCAAAATGCCTATACCCAAAAAATAGTGTAGTCAAACAGAGGCGGAATAAAAGCTCCGCAAGTCTCATAAATAACCAAATTTTAATAGCTGTGAATAAACGGTAAATAAAGAAAGAGTATATCGTTAGAAAAGCATTCTCACATCGTGTGGAGGAACAGGATCCGGCACATTCAGCTTTTGCCTCCAACGTCGACCGTGAGAGGTTTCTGGAAGTTGCAACGTAAAACATGCCAAAAATTACAATTACATTATCGAGACAGTGCTGGATTTGCACCCTTAAATCGCGGCGCTTATTCTAAATTCTTTATTTTAATCTCCATAATCACAGCACGTCCTGCCGCTGGGGAAAGTGTTCGCAAAATGCGAATCACTCCCCAAAATTCCTCCTTTGGCAACGACCTCCCTTCCACATCCTACCTTCTATCTGGCTGACTGATCCCAAATTTTTACCAAGGGGAGAGGATAGGACCCCTTTCAGCGCGACGAGCAAGTATGACCTCCCAACTCAATGTTAGTCTCCCAATGACCCTCCGCTAGTGATTCCCTAGCGTTCGATGTGCGCTGTCCAACTCTTCACAACTCTCTCTTGACTAATCATCATTCAAAACGCAGAAAGGCTGAAGAAGCAAGGGACACTCCAGTTTCAAGAGAAATTAAGGATGATCCAAATCGACGTGAAACTATGATGCTTTACATTCTCTTAGCTTTACATATACAGCCAAAAGCATGTTTATATTCCCTCCAAAAGACGAGACGAGGTGTGAATGAGTTGGCAATGCAGTTTGGCAAAAAGCAAAAGCAAAACCGTATTCAGGCAAATGACAATACAGGTATTTCCGGCGTGGAGCCCATTTTCGATACGGTTTGTTGCATGTTGCAGAGGGTAGAGGTTCATACGGAGCCCACAGAAAATTTGGCTCATTTTCGCTGCGCACTTCTGGTAGCGACAAGGGGTTAGGGGCAAATTCTACGAGCTCCAAACGAACTCGACAACACGGCTCTCTTCTTTTCTGACAAATATCTGAGTGTTTTTGGATAAGTCACTGTTCGGACAAAAGGTTCCGACTCACATGAACACAAGAAAATTTCAGTGAAAACGCAAGTCCTTGTCGTTCGGATCCCCCCTAGGAGGATACGAACCAGGCGTGTCGGTAGGTTGACGGACTCAAAAGGCAGGTGGAGGGATTCAAAAACATGCGGGATTCAAATAAAACTGAAGTGACACTGTACGAAGCGCACAAATCATAATTAAACATTGGAAAACAAAACAGAGAAAAATCATAAACAAAACAACTAGAAACAATAAAAAGAAAAGATC